AGCAGGATGATGAAGGAGATGGGGCAGAATGAGGAGGGCAGGAGGGGGCAGGGAGTTAGGGGGACTGCTCTCAAGAGGCAGCACCTTACAGTCTGATGCAAAGCCAGAACATTAGGGTTTCAGTACAAGACAAGTGCAAGCCACAGTAAGACCATGTTTTTACCATTCACCTTAAAGTAAGAAGCTAGTTTGACCTTTCTAGGATATGACTTTAAAGCAAGGATAACTGAAAATGGATCACAGGCCTCATGTGTATTTAGACTTCTCTTGAGTTTATTATGTAATTGAAGGGGGATTAGGAGAACACAGACAGGGAAAGCCAAGGCAAGCTCCCTGAGATGTTAGCTTCTTGTCCCAGAAAACAGTGAGAAGAAACAATAAGAAGGCATGGGGTAGGTAAAACAAGATCAACAGGGGGAAGAGGAGGTCCTAGGGGCCCTACAAAATACCTAAGCCAGCTCCACTTAGTAGACTCCCAGCCTTAGAGCCCCTCCCATCCCAAAAGAATGAAGCAGACACTTTCTTATGCTCCTTGTAGCTTGGTCCTTCCAGATGTTCGATTCTTTGTCAAAAAGAATAAGCTCAACAAACTCCCTAGACAATGCTGAGCGCCCCATTACAGTAACATGCACTTTAATTTTTCTCAGGGTGTGGGGTGTCGATGAAACTGTAATGTTTGGTTTTGTTTTTAAAAGCAACAACTTCAGAGACTTACAAATCTGTGGGAAGCCCTGAGAAGAAGAGAAAAGAAAGCAGGTAAGTTGGGCCTGATAATAACTTACACAGATTCAAGGCCAACCTGGACCACCAGATGAGTTCAGGACCAGTGTGACTAAGTGTCCTAAAAACAAGAGGTAAGGAGAGGGCCAGGGACACAGCTCAGGGTGGAGCACCTGACCAACATGCGCAGAGCCCTGTGTTCAATCTCAGTCCTGAAGAAACAAAGCAGCACACAGTAAGTGAAGGCAGCATCAGTTCCCACAGTGGAAACAAAACGTACGAGAAAAGTTTGAGTAGACTATAACTCACCACCTGCCTGGTTAAATGTAAATCTTAATTACAAAAACTGTTTTCTTCAAATGTAGGTATTATCAACCTCTGCACATATAGACATGGTACAGACACGTGTTATCTGTACACAGAAAGAATCAACATGAGAGCATAACTCTGGCTCAGGAACAATATTTATAATTAGGGCAAAACCAAAAACTATGAAACAAGGATTAAGAGGAATGGAATGAAGAAGCTCATGGAATTCTTGGCTTCTGTTAACAAGCTAACCGTGTCTAAAACGGATAGAGATATGGAGCTAATTCCAGAAGCAACATCTAAACGTTCCTGAGATGCAGAGTTTAGAAACAGGCCAGCCCGCTGCTTGTTTTCACTACAGACCTATGCCTTCAGAGGGATGTGTACACAGAACTTGACAGAAACAAACATTCGAAGAGTATTTAGAACCACAGCACGCACAAGAAACCCAGCTTGAAAATATATTAGAATACTGAAGAGTTGTTCAGGAGCATATCTGCTATGCTGTAAAATATATACAAATATGTTCACTTATTAATGGTGATTATCTCTGCCTGGTGAATTACGATTTCAGCTCCTTCTTTAGACTTAGTTTTCAAATTTTATCAGTAGGCATTTACTACGCTTATAAATCAAAAGCAAACTTTCTCTTTAGCTGGTATACATCTGTATGTGCTCCTGTGTGTGCATGAGCATGCAAGTGCATGTGTCCCCGGGTGTCTGCGGATGGAGGCCGGAGGCCAAAGCCAGAGGTCCTCTTCAATCACTTCCACCTTAGCTTCGGAGACTAGGGCTCTCATGGAACCTGGAGCTCTCTGACTGGGCTGCACTGCCTGGTGAGCTCTCTGACTGGGCTGCACTGCCTGGTGAGCTCTCTGACTGGGCTGCACTGCCTGGTGAGCTGTCCAACTGGGCTGCACTGCCTGGTGAGCTCCCTCAAGCACTGTACATACTTGGTACATAGCAAGCAAACATCCACACAGATAAAATAAAAGTAAATAAACCATTTTTAAATCATAAACTCAAACATAATTGACACTCATAAAGCTGACAGCTCAAGTCTTAAATATGTATTTCTACAGTACCGGAAATATCAATTATTCCTAATTTGTCTTAAACATTCTGAGATCAAATCAAAGACAGTCCTAAAATTTGAATACAAATTTCATTTATAAAAAAAGGAATGAAACATCTAAATAAAATAAATAAAATATTAGCAATGTGCTCGGCATGGTGGCACACCTGTTCTAGCTTTGGAGAACAGAGACAGAAGGATGGAGAGTTCAAGGCCAGCCTGCAATACATAAAAAGCCCTGCCTCAAGGAGGAGTGGGATGGGGGAACAATAGTAGTCTGGGTGTGGTGGCATGCATCTCTAATCCCAGCACTACAGAGACAGAAACAGAAATCTCTGAGAGTTTGTAGTCAATCGACATATCAAGTTCAAGACTAGGTATGACTATATATTGAGATCGTGTCTCAAAAAAAAAAAAGCAATAGGATCTACTGCTTTGTACACCTATTCAGATATGGAATATTTAAATAGAGGGTTTGAGGCTGGTTCAGTGGTTAAAAGCACATGCTAGTCTTGCAGAAGACCCAGGTTAGATCCCCAGTACCCACACAGTAGCTCACAACTATCTTTAACACCAGTTCTGGAGGATCCAATGCTCTCTTCCAGCTTCTGAGGGTACCAGGCACACATAGGTACACAGACATACATACATGAATACATTCAGGCAAAACACACATACACATAAAGTAATAAAAAAATTTTTAATTAAAATTAGGGGTTGTGCCAGGCGGTGGTGGCACCCAGCACTTGGGAGGCAGAGGCAGGCGGATTTCTGAATTCGAGGCCAGCCTGGTCTACAGAGTGAGTTCCAGGACAGCCAGGGCTACACAGAGAAACTCTGTCTAGAAAAAAAAAAAAAAGAATTAAGGGTTGTTCTAGAACTTGTCCCCTTACTTAGTCCTGTCTCAGCCTTTTAAGATATTTAAGTCTTACAACAAGTTATTTGCAAAATTAGTATGATGTTCTTAAACTCTATTCAAGATAAACACAACATAAAGAAAACATACTTACATTTCCTTCACATAGAAAATACTGCCTTAAATGCAGAAACCAGTCCAGTCAGAACTTAACACTATAGCCCAATATTCTAGCTAAAAAATTAAGAGTTCATGAGCTAAGAAGAAGAAACCACATGGCTACTTTTTGTGTTGCACCATGCCATATACATCTTTAGCCTGAAGTTCTATGATGTGTGAATACACTATAATCTCAGTTGCCTGATGGCATGATCACTCTCTAGCTCTCTAAGGTAACAGTCACGGACCATGGCTGCAGCTCAGCGGTACAGCACTTGCCTGTGCCAATTATCCACAGGCCTCTAGGATCAGTTCCTAGCACCATTAATGCGAATAAATCTTCAAAAGGTAACAGTTGCAAGTCTTCCGAAATTATCACACTTTCTTGTGTTCCTTTGCGCCCTGTTTCCAGTACGGCTTGCAGTAGAACTGCCCTTTTTAGAATCCATCCAAGTGATAAGCTAAAGCACTGCTGAATTTTGTTTCCCTTATTTATTGACTGTGTAAGCTACTACATTCAAAGAAGGGTTGAAGAGATGCAATTAGCTTGAATGTTAAACAGAATGACGTACCTCACAATGCTGGCGAGAAGCCTGGATTTCACATTCATACTTGTTCTTCACGGACTCTAAGCAGAGTTCTCTATAGATTCCTGAAACCAAGCACAGTGATTCTATGGTTCTGTTGGCAACAGTCAGTCGTCACAACTTCCCTACAGTCTGCCTCCACCATAGTTTATAAGATGGCTCAATAAGAAAGTCACAAATAATTCTAACTTTATCCTAAAAAAAAAAAAAACAAAACACGTATCAAAAAAGAAAAAAAAAATTAAGAGTTCATGAGCTAAGAAGAAGAAACCATGTGGCTACTTTTTGTTCTACCTCATACTCCCAAGAATACTCCTAAACCTTCACTAGAGAATGATCAAAATAAAAAGCACAATCCTTTTCTCAGATTCCTCCTAACAGAAAGGGAGACACACAATAACTCTTGGTTTCACCATTCACACATAATTAAAGCAAGAAATGGATACTTTATTCAGTCAAAACCACTGCATCCAAACTATTCTCTTCAGAGTCCAAAGCTTTGCAAAGAAGACTGACTGTGGAAACTCACAGAACATGGTAGCTCACAGTGACAGTGTTCCCACCAGGCAGATGCCCAAGTGCTAGTCTTACAGGGAACAAGGTAACACAAACTAGGGAGCATGACCAGACTTAGAACTCAGTTAACCCCCAATGTGTAGACTCAATGCCAAGCCACAGGTGGTGTCTGTTATGTCAAGGCAGATGGCAACTACCTGGACCTATGCCATCTCCAACATATTCACCCATACAATGCCACAAAATCAAAGTGTCACAAACTGCACAAAATGTCATACATGCCTACCTGCTACCTTTGTACGAATCTGCATGTTTTCTTGTAAGGTTGCCAGTGGTTCCAGATACTCTGGTGCTTTTCCAGCTATGACTTCTTGGAGTTTTGCATCCACCTGACTCAACCGCTCTTTATAAAGTCTTAACAAAGCAAACATGAAGACATGAATTAAAACTTTGCAACCAAGACAAGCAACTTGCTGCTTTCATGCATTGCTTCCTAACAGAGCTCATGCTCCAATAAGCTAGCAGACGCATTCTTGCCCTGACTGCAATCAGAAAACTCTCTTATATACATCATGATATTAAACAGATACCAGTCAAGGTATGGTTTGTTGGTTTGTTAATCAGTATCACTCTTTAGTCACAAAAAAAATGCAATTAAAATTCAGGCCCAGTGGCTTTTGTCTGTTGTCTAAAGCTACTTGGGTGGGGAAGAGAGTGAGGCAAGAAGATGGACTGGACTGAGTGACACAGCAAGAACCATCTTAAAAAACTTAAAGTGAAAGAAAAAAAAAAAACTTGAAATCACTACTTTGGCACTCCCAACTTTTATTTTAAATGAACAAAAATAAATCAATTCTAAAAGAAAGGGTAAATACTAGCTTAAAAGAAACAAGGAAATCACTTCTAATATTTTGGCTGTTCTCCATCTTACCTGAAAAGGCACAGTAACATCTTTAACCTGTTTCATTTTCACTTGCTTGTTGTTTCTGGTATTTTGAGACAGGTCTCACTATATTATCCAATCAAAACTCACTATGTAGCCCAGGTTAGTCTCCACCTCACAAAGGTCCTGCTTCAACCTCCTGAGTGCTAACATTTCAAGTCAGAGTATCTATGCATGGATCTTTATTAGTGGTTACAAAACTAAAAACACACACTGATGATGGAGAGAAATGATTAGAGAGCCCATAACCTGCTAATTGCAACTCTACTAGAAATGACACAGTGTTATTGGATGGAAAAATGAAAAAGAGGGCTAAGCACAGCAATACACAAGCCTGCTATAATCCTGGATTTGACTAACAGAGGCAGAGAAAGACTAAGTTTGAGGCCAGCCTGGGCCATATAAGGAGCTCCTCACAGACTGGACCACCATGTAATCAAACTACAACAAAAAAGAAGAAGAGGAAGAGGAGTAGGGAGAGGAGAAAGAAGAGGAGAAAGAGGAGGGAGAGGAGAAAGAGGAGGAAGAAGAGGAGGAGGGGAGGAGGAAGAAGAGGAAGAAGAAGAGGAGGAGAAGGAAGAAGAGGAGGAGGAGGAAAAAGAGGAAGAGGAAGAAGAGGAGGGAGA